TACAAAGAAAATAAACCCAGTATTGCATAGTGCATATGGGTAAGATAACCGATTTACGGCTTCAGGTTTTTGCGGCATGTCTGCCATGGCAGAAACTACGTCAAGACGAAAAACTTGCTCGCTTGCAGCTCCGATGCAGAGTGCAATCAGAGGCTACGATGTGTAAGGAAGTTAAATGAAAACCGGTAACTATGTTAGTACGGGTATGAATGGGAATACAATGGTTCTGCTCATTTCCTGGTTCAGTTCAAGTTATAGTTATGAAATTTTTAATACAAATTAATTTGTTTACAATATATAGTGGATTATGTATATGAACTGATTAAAAAAAAAGAAATTAATATTAATTTAATGTTAGGTTTTCAATAGTTGTTAATTTAATTTCTTTGCTTTTTTACACTCATGTTTAGAGTATCTATCCATCCATAATAAACAATTATTTTGTATACAATAGATACCATTTGTCAAGACTTGAGAAATTGAAATCTAAATAATTTTTGTCAGAGTACAACACAATTGAATCAAAGTATTAAATTTGTATTTTTTAAAATATTTTATTCTTTAATTAAATTTCTGTCGAAACCAATGACGTCAGTATTGATATAGCTGGTTTTGTGTCTTACGATAATCTTATAATCTAATAAAACATATTCTATCTAATGTCAACATTTAAAAAATAAATAAATTTATATTTTAATTTATTAAAACAGTTTTATTTAACTGATTAATCCCAAAAATGCTATTAAAACAGGTTGCCGTCATAATATTAAAATATGAGCCCATCAGTTAAAATTTAATTTATGAAATTTTGTATAACTAATAGATATTTTAGTATATAAGTCCTTTCGGTATCACTACATTTCAGTGGAATCAATTATAGCAGCTCTAATTCAATCCAAGTAGGCAGTAATGTAGCTTAACTTGTGTCGTGTGAATAGACTATAACTTATTTTTTAATATTAACAAAAATAATTAATTCAATAATTAAAAAAATTCATTCAATTATTCTATAGCTGGTTTATGATTTCGTTCATATATAAATTCAACAAATGAATTTGTTAATGAACTTTCACAGTAAATTAGCAAAACCCCAAAGTGCGATCATCCAAGTCAACATACAAGGCTTTGGGTTAGTTGGTTAATGAACGCTGACTCTGAGCTTCAAATTGGGCAGGTACGAGTTCAAACCTTGGTACTTGCAGTCTCAAAAAATTAATTACAAATAATTAAATCCAGAGTACATATTTGGCAATAATCGAAACAGCCAAAAGTTAATAAATATTCAAATAATTAATATAATACTCCAAATAACTGTATTGACCACACAAAAATTCAATTAATTAAAATACAGTCAAACTTCCATAACTCGAAGTCTAATTTTGCAAAGAAAAGGTTCGACTTATGGAGACTTCGAGTTAGAGAATTTTTTTATTTTTGAAAGAAACTAGAATTTATTTATTTATTTGCAATCAAATAAAGCACAGAAATTGTAATGAAGTATAATATTCATTTTCAGTAAAAAGAGATTCCACTTTATTCATACTCTTATCGCTATCAGTTTGTTGTATCATTCGTTTGGAAATATATATTCAGAATTTTGAATGAGTCTTCTATTTCATTCTTGGAAGGCTGATAAACAATTACATCCACGGAACCCTTATCATCATTTTCCGTTGCGCTTAGAATCGGATCCACTAATTCAGAGCTATAATGCTCAATATTATCGTCATCTGTAGAAAAGTTTGATGTACAAATTTCATTGTCAAGCTCAATATAATCATTAAGAGAAACATAGAAAGTTATTTTATTTACTTTAAACCACGCTGCCAGCGACTAGAAAAATTAAACATTTGTTTTGGAAAAAGGGACTTCCCCTAACACCAGAATGGATTCATACTTAAAACAAATATTCGACTTATAGAATACACTTTCTCATATTCCTTCGGCACGGAACAAAATTTTTGTTCGAGTTATAGAAGTTCGAGTTATGGAAACAGAATTGTATGTAATTTGCTCTCTGAAACCTTGGTGCAATGACAATAATTTATTATTCAATGACATAATTATTCAATGACAATGGTTCTAAGAATGGCGTGGTCTACATTCCGGAGCAGCTCCTCGCCAGCGACTACCAAGTGTTGTTTGACACCTCTCAAAAGGAATTCACAAGCAGGTCCCAGCGGGTAACGACATTCAATGTTAATAATTTAATATTAAAATACACATGAGACATAAAAATATTTGTAATTTGGTAATCTGTATATATACAGATTATATATACAGGTATATATCTTTATACCTTAAAACTTTCAATGAATGCAGTGAAACTATATATAAAACTATTCTATATGTTAAAATTTAAAGCAATGATAAATTCAAACGAAAATACTTTTCGCGCTTAAACGTTACAGTCAACCAAATGTAACAATATTTACACAAATTAACATCTAATAGGCATTTACTAATAGAACCCCCCACTTGCTGTCGTGAGTGGTTCTAGTACCCTACATGATATTACAAATTCACTACAAATCATTATTTCATAAAATATCAAATTTTTTAGTTGACATAGCATAGACCATTAGAAATTTTTCATTTATTAGTATGTTGCTCTCAAAAAAGGCGCAATATACTTGCCTCAGTTAAATAGAATATTATTGAGTAAGCTTTCTTTACAACAACAACAACAGCAGCAACTTACCCATTACAGTGTCGTTTCTTCAAGAAATATTCAATGTCACAACCAACTTTGGAAACAAAATCTTCGTCTGCAATTTGCATTTGAGTTTAAATAGTTTAATTTTACTGCTATCACAAATCGAAAAATTTATCCAACCTTAATAAATGCATTGAATTAATTAGACTGTTATATATGTATACTGTTTTACATATTTTGTTCGTTTTTTTTTCAATGTCAAAGACGCAAAAAGTAAATAATTTTATTATATATTTGTAATAAAGTATAGTTTATATAAGCGTTTATAACGTTATGACAATATTTAAAACTACAACGGTTTAAAACATGAAAAGCCAAAATATTTGCAATATTTGCTAATCGAAACTATGATCATGTTAAAAAAAAATTTTTTGACAGAACATCGTTGTAGACTTCGCATGTCAAAGCACAACACTAAACTTTATATATATATAAACAGAATTTGTCGTTGATTAGTATAACACAGCTAAAATTATATAAACAAAACGTTTAACACAACTTTAAATTAATTATATTCACACTATTACCGTATTAATTTTCGCAATAAGAACGCTCAAAGAGTTAGGAAGAACTTTGGAAGTACTGAGTTTTGTGTTAAGTTAGTTGCGTTTAATGTTCTAGGCAAAATGACAGCTTTGAGTTAAAAACATGTCAAAATAGAAAAACGTTTTCAAATGTTAATTAATTGTTAATTATTATAACAATTACATATATTTTTATTAAAAGTTATTAAATCAGACATTTCGAAACGGTTTTTATGCATTTCATTATATATTTTTTATTTTGTTTAGAGTTAAAAACTAAATACATATGTATTTGATGTAGGTTTATAAAATTATTTTAAATATATGCTATATATTAAATATGTTATAATATATTCCCAAAAATAATATAGTAAATAAGTTACAGTTTATTTATATGCATTATACAATTTTATATAAAATTAATTATATTTAAATTGAATAAATAAATTTTAAAATCAATATTTTATACATAAATTTATTTATAAATATTGTGCTATATATATAAGCACAATGAAAGTAATGTAATATGGCATTTCCACTGGCCTCAAATGTCTCATTTTGGTCAAAAATCAAAAACGAGAAGCAAATGATTCTATTTTGTATACAAAATTTCAAGCGCAAGTGAGATCCATTGGATCTCATTCTGTATACATGTGTTCCAACGAGGTTAGAATGAGTTTTAAATATGTTCCAAATGCAAATCGATACATGGAACATACCCTAAATAAAATCTTTTCATGACATTTTGACAGTCTGAGAAAAATGTTTCTGACATACTTACAAAAACAAAAAGGTAAACAAATGTTTGGTGGTTGCATTTCCTTGAAAATGATGCAGCTCTTTTTGGTACATCTGCTTCCCAAAAATAAATTAATCGAACCTAAAAATAAATTTGTCTTCATTTTTTATTTCACCAGACTTTTACTTAAAAACCATGGAAAGAAACATAATGTGTGAGATAGACACATTAATTTTTAATAACATTTAACTAGATAATACTGTTGTAAACTAATCAAAAACGCTGCAGCAAATAATAAATAAATAAATTTAAAATACAAACTAAGAAATGGGAGAAAAATGTAACATCAACATGAGATATCATATACATGATATCATATAAATTATTAAAATTAGTTAAAAAAAAAAAAGAAAGAAAGAAATTTAAAATAAAAATAAATTTTTAATATTTTTCTTTTGTGCTAGTATTCGCTTGAGAAGTGCAAACACTTAAATTTATTTTTGCAAAAAATGCTGACATGTTACTTATTCACACAGCACAAATTTCAATAAGATTACAATCCGATACCATGAAATCTTATAACCACAATTATTATTGAATCATTATTTAAAATAAATCAAGTTAATATCAAATTTATAATTCACAAATTTAATAACAAATTGTAAATATGAATTATGAACTTGTGAATAAAATTTAATATTGTGAATAATTATCGTCAACTAAGGGAAAATCAAATAAGATATTTAAATTTAATTATAAAACCAAATATATTAAAAAAAGTAGTTTTTAATTGAGAATTTTTTGAATAAAAATGAATTACAAGAAAATTTGTTTTTTTTTAATAAATCGAATTGTTGGCAGCCTTTTTATTTACGAGTTCAACTACAGATCAAAATATGATTAAATTAATGTATGCTCTCTGAACAAATTTCAATAAAGCGAGCTGAAATAGCAAAATTACAATTGCTTGTGGGAATATTATATTCGATAAGTATATTACTTAATATATACAGCATTACAATGTCGTTGACGCCTCAACAATTTTTTGTTTACACATTAATTTAAAGCGAGTAAATTTACTCGCTACATTGCAGCTGATAGCATTTTGGATTTAAGTGCAGCGCCAAAAGTCAAAATTAGCGAAACCGGCAAAAGATTTTATTTTCACCGTTTTTAATAATTAAAAGTTAAATATATAAAATAAAATGCCGCAGGAAATTCGGGTTGTGTTATGCTTTGATTGCAACATGTACCAGGTAAAATGAAACTACATTGCACATGCACGAGTTCTAAATATATTGTTTAGGTCGATATTGTGTAGAAAACAAATAAATGGCAGTGTAAACTTTGCGGTGCTAAGCAATCCTTAAAAAAAGAGTTTTATCGTGGCTCAGGTGGAGACTGCCGTTTAAAAGCACAAGAGCTAAATATGGATAAAGGGCGTGCCACTGAAGAAGTCGAGAATGAAGTTTTGGAATTTTTACAAAGTGATGATATTGATTTTATTGCAATGGAAAACACGCCGGAAGACTTCTTAGGACAACAATCACAACAAGAGAACAGCGAAAGGGAAAATAAATGGAGCTGTTATGTGGACGAGACTAATGCAAATAGTGACTTTAATACGAGCTATTGTGACACAACTACATTTCATGGAAATCAAAATGCAACCGAAGCGTCTTCCTCGTCTAAAAAACGTGGGATTGAAAGTAGAGCCTCTGACCTCAGTTCTAGCTGTAAAAAGAACTCCAAATGGGATGATTATTTATAAATATATAAACGATTACATATATATTTTATGTTGTCATAAAATTATTTATTGATTTCTAAATTCTAATAAAATTCAATTGTTATGTGACATGAAATAGTTTCTCACAAACTAATGGTTATTATTAATTCATTAAAAATTTTCAAATAGCTTTTTGTTTTTCCAACTGGAAAATACATATTATAAATTTCAAATATTATTAATTTAAATAAGTCAAAGTTTAGCTGCTTTAAATATTATCTTTCCTAGCAATCTTTTCATCGCTAATGATGTCATCTATATCAGCATTATCACCATCCCCACCAACACCTCCTTTACCAGAGGAACGTCTACGTTTACGATTTACACGCCATGGACGAATTGGGAATTTCATTGCTGGTAATTGATCCATACCTAAGACCTTATAAATTTGTCTGAATGCAATATAGCGTAAGAATAATTGCGCTGAAACTGTTAAATCTTCACGTTGTTGTTTAGTTAAATTATTTAATGCATCTGTTGGTTCTTTCTCGCAAGGATCCAAAAGACCAGGTCCATTAATAAGGAAACCCGATGCCAATGCCTCCATTATACGACGCATGCAATCGCCTGGAGATATAGGCATACCAGCTGACGAAATTACTTTCTCCACTAATAATTCCAGAGACCATTGTGGTAAAGCGTTCCAAGATTGAACACGCTGACAGAGATCACGTAGTATACGTATAACCATAACACAAGATTGCAAGCCAGTAGCACGTGCCTGAAACCATTTAGCATGACGCAATTCAGCCAAAGCCTAAAAAATATATTAATAAATTTAAATTTTTATTTAATTTTTTTTAATTTAATCTAAAAAAATAACTAATTCATTTCTGAGAGCAAACCACAATATCAAAGTATGATTGTTTACTTTAAACATAATTGTATGTTAAGAAAGAGCTAATTGTTTTCATAAAATGGAGATACAGATTGTTAAAGTGTATGGAAAAAAAAACGTTTTATCCAAATAGCTTAAGTAGCATAGTCTGCATTTGAATAAATATTAAAACTAGATCTTCTGCTCTGGAGATGATTAACGTTATTTTTGAATACAGCTGAAGTGAAATAAATATTTCGGTAATTATGAATAGGGCATGATGCATTAGTTGATCAATAGATCTAGTGCCACGAACAGGTTCCAAGCAAGGCCGGACCAACGTCCCAGAGTCGTCGTCACAAGCGACAACCAAGTGTCATTCGATACGTCCCGAAAGGACAAGGAAATCTCAGCGGGTTACAATAACAATGTCACGAACAGGTAATGTTCGAGCCTACCAAAATCGATAAGATTATACAATACAAGAAATCATCTCGGCGATGTTCACAGAAAACTGTTGTACATGAACTAATTACTCTTCATAATCTAAGTATTTGATTATAATAAATATTTAATATCTATTTAATAAGATCTTCTGTTCATGAACTAAATATATATTTATATAATTATAATAACTCCTGTACATAAACTAATTATTATTAATAATATATATTTTTCTATAATGAATATAAAATATTTATAATAAATTTGATTTTAATGTTAATTATGACGACGTGACTATTTTACTTAATAGAAACTATTGTATTTAATAGAGAGGTTTCAAACAGTACTGAATTTCATCAACAAACATTTTTATTTATTTGTAATTAATTGAATTTTTGGGTGACCATACAGATGTTTCAAGTATTGTTAATTACCTATCAACAGTCGTTTTGGAATAATATTAACAAAACAATTGAAGATGTAGAATAACATTAGCATGACCGTCTCTACACAGGAGAGAATAAATAAAATAAGTAAAATGCCATAAGTAATGCCTCTACAAGAGAATACTATTGAAATATTTAAAAATAACTATAATCAATTCAATTATTCTACAGCTATTTTAAAGTTTCGTTCCAATATAACACAGCAAGTATATTTGTTAATGAACTTTCACAACAAATTAACAAAACTCCATGTTCGAACATACAAGATAGGAAGGGGCGTCAGTTGGTTATTGAACGCTGACTCTGAGCTATAAATTTGGCAGGGTACAGTTGAAGCCCTGATACTTGTAGTCTCAAAAAATTATTTATTAATAATTAAAAACAACAAATAATTCAAAGACCACTGATGATGACTATTTGACAATACTCGAAACAGCTGTATGGTTAACCAAAAGTTCAATTATAGATAAATAAAAATATTTGTTGTTGCAATTAACTATTGTTCGAAACCTCTATATAAAATATATATTTAATTATAATAGCAGCTTTAAATGATTCTTATTATTCTTAACAATATTTTATATTTATTTATTAATAGAATTGTGTTGTGGGTTTTGATTCGACTGTTAAATATTTTGTTTGAACTTGTGTTTTCAAATAAAGCTGTAATTTATAAGCATGTTCTAATTTAAAAGCGTGCCAAGTGCTTTACTTAGTGTCACTTAAAAACTAAATAGTGACAAAAAAACATGGATTAGTCATTGCTTTTAATCTGACAAACACGAGTTCTAAGTCGGGCACTTGCAGTCCAAACAAATTTTATACGGACTATAAACAAATAAAAAAGAAATTCGAATATTTTGTGAGACCACTCATGATAAGTACTTAGCAATATTTGAAATAGCATTGTGTGGTCAGCCAAATTTCAATAAATTAACTAAAATTTTTGTTGTTGTCTTTTGATTTATATTTGAACCCTTCTAAACTTTAAATAGTTTATTTTCATCAAAAGATGCGTCACTTTCGGCGTCAGAAAGAATAAATTAACGTTAAATATTTTTATTTTATCATATAGTTTACTTACCTTAAGACATGGTTCCCTTGGTAAAAGAGAAGCATCGCCCACTCCACCATTTGCAGTTAACTCATCTACAGGTTTCTTTCCATCCGGCGTCTCGCGTAATAATGGAGAAGTCAATGCTATTTTAACAGATACATTTTCATCTTTAACAATAACTGCTGACTCATCTATTGCCACATTTACAGTATATTCGACTGAGTTTTCGCCTAAAATTAAATAGACTCTCACTCAATTGTACCAATTAAATATATATTATTTATATTATTATATTATTCATTTTAAAAGTTATATTAATATGTGTATAGAGTTATCCATAGGTTATTTTTAATATAGTGGGTGAAAAGTGACAACCACTCAAAATGATTATTTTTCGCAGGGGGTGTTATGAATAAAGTAAACCTACCGCTTTCGAAAAAATATAATTATTTTGAAAGTTATTGGCAAAAGGGTGTAAGTGTATATGGCTTCACTTTTGCGGATTAAAGCCTCCCATTTTATTAAAAGGCACCAAGCATGTTTGTCACTTTTACCACTTTAATCTCTGGTTCACCTATTTGTAAGCAGAGTTGCAAACTATAAAGGTGATTGCCATTTATAGGAAGCTTTTGCATCTCTCTTTACGCAGTCATATAATATAATTTAACATAAAAACTTTGACCGAAATTTAATGCAAATTAACGCCTTTCAAATAAAATACAAAATAAATAATTCAATAATTCAATAATAACAACATGTGTGTACAAATACAACATATAAAAAATATATAATATATTCATAAATATAATGCAAAAGGAAAAATTTGAAAACTCCTTTGATGTCTGGCGCATAATTGTCATTTCTATTTCGGTCACAATTTCCACGATTTTATTTATTTTTCATTCATTGATGCACACAAAACCACTCTTTGTTCGAAAATCAATAAAAATTCCACATCAAATTAGCAATGAAAACAATTTCCAAGTCTTCTAATTTTGTGTGATCAGTTGTAGAGACCTTATAATTGTATTCAAAGGACTTTATTTATACAAAGTTTTTGGAAAAAAGTATTTGCAATTAATGCAAACGAAGGCTAAAATGCCGCGGATATACGCTCGCTGAAGTTATTTTCGAATGAAGAAAGCTTAGCTTAAACTTTGTGTAAATATACTCCTTTGGTACTGTCCGCTCGCTTAAAGTCGGTTTACATTTTACCATTATTTCCAGTCCAGCAACAAAACAGCAATAAACTACAGAAGCAAGAGATATTATGAAGAAATACGTACACAGATCGCTAGAATTTAACCACATACGGATATCCTGTGAAAAAGAGCTGAAAACACCAAATACGATTTATTTTTGCATTAAGGCATGAGTGCTATAAATTCCACCACAATTACTACTTTTTCCATACAAATTGCCTATCTTTATTAAAGTATTTATTTAGTTAGCTTTTGCTTATTATTTGCTTATGCTTATTTGCTTGGATCAGTTCGAAAAGTTAAAATAGTTGCAGAAATTTATATAAATTCTAAGTAAATAAATAAATATTTTATCATGTTTTGGCTTAATTCAAAATGGGGTTAATCGCGTGTTTTATTTAAACATTGAAGAGTATTCGCGATTAACCACTAATTTCATTAACTTTTTTAACATCAGGTTATTTATACTCTTAAGCTATTTCTTTGGAAAAAGTTGCCACAAGGGCTTACTATATTACAAATGTTCTATAAACACCAATAAAGTTTTTATTTTGTGCTACTTTATCGATCGTTAAAACACAAAAAATATGCTCAACATACCTGCAACTTCTTTAAGTTTCGCTGGTAGTTCAGCAGCAACACGCTTCAATAGGCCAATAGTTGGTTTATCTGAACATAAAACCACTAACTCAACGATATTATCACCTTGTAGTAATAATCCTTTAGCTAGGCACCCAACACGCATAACTCCTTTTAAAATACGAATATTTCCAGAGTCTGCTTCCTTTTGAAATGATAACATTTGATTGTCGCGACCATCCTTCATTTGAGTATTATCATACTTTTCTTTCTTGGCACTAATACCATTTTCATCTGGGTTTTCTGCCAAGGAATCTGATACAAACTTTAATGCTCTTTCAGTATGTGAAACAATACGTTGAATTGTTTGCAGTTCTTCTTCTTTAGGATAAATTTCAGCATGTCGTGCAATTGCATGACGGTCATCAGTACTTTCAGGACGGCGTACATTAGCTCCACCTGGTATCATTCCATAGAATGGTGGTGGTCCATTACCCATGCGACCACCGAAACCGCGTTGAGATCCTAATTGTGATAGTAAAAATATTATAGTTTACTGTAAAATATAAATTCTAAAGCCAGCACAACTGTTACACACACAAAATGCACATAAAACGCATATCTGCATATTTTTCTTTATGCTTAAAACTCCAGCTTTTAGAGCTTTGTCACTGTCACGGCCTCATAACCATATCATAGTTACCACAGAGGTAGCAGAACATTTTTTTTTTAAAATGGAGTTTTATTTCGATATAAAAATCCATTTTCGTGCAAAACGTATGTTAACACTATGCTTAAAGTAAAAAATTTTACCTGCAAAACTACGTGCCAACCAATTAGAATAATCGTATTCATCATCATACTGAGATCTACGCCTTTGTTCGTCACCCCAATACATGCCACCGCCTTCATGTTCATCATTAAATCCACCATTTCCACTACGGTGAGAGTGCATTAGTGCTCGTTGAGCGCGAGCTTCAGCTAAACGCCTCTGGCGCGGTGTGGGTTTAAAGTCAACAACCAAATCTGGTTGCACTTTTCGTTTATATTGCAAACGATGTCGTCTGCCTTTCATATGCATCTCTTTGGCGTTCGGATCATTAAACTTACAATCACATAATTTACAATTGAAGCTAAGTATTTTACCCTCCTCATCTTTAATTTCTTCAATATATTCACCACCAACAGGCTTTATGTTGTCAGTGTTTTCACCAATGCTATCAGCATTTTCTTGATTATCTACAACTCAAAATATTTCGTCACTTAATATTCATTAGTATGTATTTATAATACTTACCTTCAGTTTCTGCTTCATTTAAACTTTCAGCTTTATTACTTTCACCTTCAGCACCTTCAGCTGCACCGCCAGCCGCTGGTACGAAATTAATTTTAGTCATTTTTTTGGGTTCATCAGAAGGTATAGGCTTTCCGAGTTTCTGGTGCAATTTTACAACTTTTTGGTGTTTAGCACCACGTACATGAGCAGCATAAGCGTCAGTACCAGTACAGGTAACATCACATAATTCGCAATGATAATTATTACCACGATTTTGAACTGTTGTCTGCGCGCTAGCTTGCATTTTTAATGATGCTTCACGTTTCTTATGCTTTTGACCTTCCAAATGTTCGCGATAAGTTTGTGGGCCAGCACAAGAAATTTTGCATACTTCACAATAGTGTAACTGTTGTGGACGCGGAGGTGGTTTAGCACGACCACGTGCTGCTCCTCCTTTGCCATTGCGATATTGCGGCCAACCAGCAGCAGCAACATTTGGTTTAACTGCTGTACCTTGTGCAACATACATGGACGCTGCACTATACAAAGTGGCATCATAACCGGGATATGCAGTTGCCGCGGCGGTTGTAGCAACAATTGGTGTTGCTGATTGTTGTTTGGAACTATTTTTGTCCTTGGTTGCTGATTTTACTCCTGCATTTATATTTTTCACAGGCGGTGCTGAATAATGCGTTTTACTCACTGTTACTGCTGGAGCAGTGGCGTAGCTGGACGGTGCTTGTTGATAAAATGTTTTGCTAGTATCATATGATTGCATTGTTCGATTGTATTCAGCGTAACCATATCCACTAGCACCCGAAGCACCGGCCGCTGCATACCCTCCTTGTCCAGCAGCAACAGCAGATTGATAAGCAGCCGCATTAGCGTACGTAGCATTGGTAACTGCAGGATAGGTTACCTGTCCCGCATTGTACTGCGTTCCACCATAACCAAAACCAGTGTAATTATTATTTGCCATATTTAGTATCTAAATTCATTTATCAATAGAAAAATCAATAATTGTTAGTATAACACCCACTTTTAAAAGCACACTTATACCTACCAACAAAACACGAACTCCCAACCGGTGCCGGTAGGGTAAGGGATATTCCGAATATTTTATTTATTTTATTATTGCACTGACGTCAATAGTATGCGTTAAACACAATTAAATCTAGAAAAAATCAGACAAATATTGTAAAATTTATACAACTCATTCCATTTTAAATCTTTTTCACATGCTTTTTCTTCATTAAAACAATTTACACTGCTTTTTTCACGTTTTTTTATCATTTAAATTGTTAGCTTACATTTAAAATCAATAAACTTGCATTTATTAAATATTATTTTAATTTTTCACGCTAAATGCTACTAACATACATTTAAAGGTTTTTCTCCAACAAGCGACAAAAAATCTGCAGAAGAAAAATTGACTGCACGCATACGATACGATAATAATCGATAACTTACGTGATAGTGCAACTGTCAAGTTGTATGTTGAAAAAACACAGGTTTTTTTGACAGATGAATTTTTTTAATTATATATGTTAACAGAATTTATATTTTAAAAACATATATACAAAGATTGTAGATAGTTCGATTACGATTTCTTATACAACACAATTTGTTAATAAATTTTTTTAAAGTTTAATATACTGAGTTTACTTCTCCAAAAATTGGTCTTTGAAATAAATTTCCTACATTAACAACACAAACAAGAAATACACTATATTTATACTGTGAGATTAATACGACTTTTACATTGTGTGAACAATGAACATGAACAATATAAATGAATAATTGTGCAACATCATTTTTGAGTTTCGACATAGATTTATGTACGTCTATGTTAGAGCGCAGGGCTGATGTAATGACTCCAAAATTTTTAAGAGTTTTTCATTAAAAAAATTTCTCCTGAGTCCAATTTTAGAAAATAATTATAAAACCAGCAAAGTCTATATCTTTGGCAAACATAAGCATCTAAAGTGATAAAACGAGATATATGGTTTGGACTGGGCCAAGTACCTAATACTACGTTTACTTAAAATGAAAAAAAAAACATTTAATATAAATTTAATAATTAGTTCTTTAACAAAAAATTTACAAATTTTAGTTATAATTATAAATAAAACAAATAAATAAAAATTTCACTCAGACATTTTCAAATTTTTAATATTTTTTTTAAATAGATTTTGATAATCTGTTCTTCTAATATCGTAAAAGAATTTACTTTAATGTACTGTTAATCTCACAATATAAACGTAGTATTAGGTATTAGGCCCACCCCGAACCATATGTCTGGTTTTATAGACTTTGCTGATGAGCCTTGGTATAAATATAATGTGCATTTCACGCTATTTAGGTTCACATAGAGCGTTTTTGATTTTAGTCGCGTCTTACGACAAGCGTTCCTTACCATGGCCCTGTATTTACATGCCCATATGGGAGACGTATGATATATGCAACACAAAAGTAAGAAGAAATGTATATTGTAAACAATTGTGATATAAAATAGTTTTACTTTTTCGCCTTAATCATACTATGTAAATCTGTTGTAATTTAAATTGGTAGCGCATTATTTCCTAAGATTTAAAAATTGAAAATATAATTTCATTAAAGGTTACTAAAAAATACAATACTGTAAAATGGTAGCAAAAATCTGCACTCAAAAGATTTTGGCAACACTTTTTAAATTGCGAAATGCGCCTTTCACAGCTTGAAAATGTAAATTGTAAACAAAGTGAATTCGTCAAAAATGTTTATTTTAAATATATAAGAAGTTTTTAAATAAATGTAAATAAAAATAAAATGGAAGAAAAAAGTAAGTTGCTTTCATCACTTTATAGTTTATCAACTATAACGTGATATACCATTTTCAGAATACATTAAACGTAAGGAAAAAGCCGCAAATGATGGAAATCTTGAACAATTGGCAGTCAGTTGCAATAATTTAGGTGATTTCTATAATCAACATGGCAAGTATCAACAGGCCGCACAAGAGTATCAGCAAGAAGCGGAGCTGTATGAGCGGCTACATAAAAAACTCGAAATGGCAAAGGCACATCGTATGATCGGTGAAATGTGTATGCTATTAAGCGAATTTGATAACGCTAAGCAACATATAAACACATATTTAAGTAAGAGTTTTTGTGTATATAAATTACGAAAAAAAGATGTAATAATTAAAGATATTTATTAGAAATTGTTAAAAATTTACACAACAAAGTAGAGGAACAACGTGCGTATGCCACATTAGGCAGAGCAGAGTTACTTTATGGACAAAGTCTTAGTGAAACTTCATCAAAAGGTGGTATGGACCAATTGAAACAAGCTGAAAAAGCATTTCTAAAAAGCTTGCTTCTTACTAAAGAGTATGTAATTAATTTATTGCTATATATATAAGTTATTTATATTAAATAACTATCTGGTCGTTTCAGACTATCTGGTCAGATAACGAAATTAGAACAGTTGGATATGCAGGCTCGTTGTTACTTGAATATTGGCGTTGTTAAGGAACATATGGAAGATTTTGAAGAATCTATAACTTATATAGAAAAAGCTATCAAAATCAGCGTATCAAATGACATTTTCGAATTGACACATTTATGTTATATATCGATGAGCTTGCTTTATTTTTATAAAAAGAATGACGCGACGTTAGCGTTGCGTTATTGTAATTTGGCACTCGATATTGCAAAACGACTACCGAATAAAGTTAAAAGAATATGTGAAACGTTGATTACGAAATCGGAAATATTAATTAAAGAAGGTGATTTTGCAAGCGCAAAACAAATATTGACAAAAGCCTACAAGAAAAATACGCCTGATGAAAATGATCGTAATACTATCGAAAAATCTTTACGAGTTGGTGAGTTAAATTTTTTATTGTATTAGTATTTTTTTTTTTTGCGAAAAGCCTGAGTCCATATGTTATTGTTTCCATAATTTTAATTCGCTTATATGTATGTAATATAAGAATTTACGGATATATTTTTGATGAACATATCGCACACCCTCTTCAAAAGAAGCACATTGGTGATTTTTATTCCAATTACTTAAAAAGGTAAAAGAATATTTTTTATAGACGAAGGTGTTTGTAGCACGGTGACATATATTATCGTTTCTCTAAAACGGATTAATGAATATTTTAGAGGTCCTTTTAGAGGGACGAAACGAATCTATCTAATGATATATACCAACAGCCTGTATATACTTTTAAATTTCAACTATTATATTAATTTAAGAGATAAACATATAAAATTTTGTACATTGTTGACTCCAGAAACGACTTCAAATTTATATTGGAATGTTCGAAATTGGACTTAAAATTGCCATAAAA